CAGTGTCACCCTTGGCTTTGTATCCCCTCCTGGTGCCACCATGGCCCCGATGTCCCCAAGGCCACCATTGTCACCTCAGTGTCACCGCTGCTCTCGTGTCTTCTTCTGGTGCCACCATCGCCCCAATGTCCCCAAGGCCACCATCACCTTGATGTCCCCAAGGCCACCATCATTGACCCGATGTCCTCAAGGCCACCACCCCTGCCCCGATGTCCCCACAGTCGCTGTCACCCCAGTGTCACCCTTGGCTTTGTGTCACTCTCTGGTGCCACCATGGCCCCGATGTCCCCAAGGCCACCATTGTCACCTCAGTGTCACCTCTGGTCTCGTGTCCCCTCCTGGTGCCACCATCGCCTCAGTGTCCCCAAGGCCACCAATGCCCCGATGTCCCCCAAGGCCACCATCACTCAATGTCCCATCCTGGTGCCACCATCACCCCAATGTCCCCAAGGTCACCATCACCCCCCAGTGTCACCCTTGGCATTGTGTCCCCTCCTGGTGCCACCAATGTCTTGATGTCCCCAAGGCCACCAATGACCCAAGGACTTGTGTCACCTTCTGGTGCCACCATCTCCTCAGTGTCCCCAAGGCCACCAATGCCCCAATGTCCCCAAGGCCACCATCACTCAATGTCCCCAAAGACTTGTGTCACCTCCTGGTGCCACCATTGCCCTGATGTCTCCAAGGCCACCACTGACCCACAGTACCCAAAGCCACTGTCACCTCAGTGTCCCCTCCTGGTGCCACCATGGCCCCAGTGTCCCCAAGGCCACCAGGGCCTCAGTGTCACCTCTGCTCTCGTCTCCTCTTCAGGTGCCACCATTGCCTCAGTGTCCCCAAGGCCACCACTGACCCACTGTCCCCAAAGCCACTGTCACCTCAGTGTCCCCTCCTGGTGCCACCGTCTCAGTGTCCCCAAGGCCTTCATGGCCCCGATGTCCCCTCCCGGTGCCACCGCTGTCCCCGTGTCCCCTCCCCCAGTGACCAAAATCCCATTTTTTCATCCATTTTTATTCATTGCCTTTGTTGGGGACACTTGGGGACATTCTGGGGACATTTGGGGACATTTGGGGGCCATTTGGGGCCATTTGGGGACATTTGGGGACACTTTGGGGACATTTGGGGACATTTGGGGACATTTTGGGGACATTTTGGGGACACTTGGGGACATTTTGGGACATTTTGGGGACATTTGGGGACATTTTGGGGACACTTTGGGGACATTTGGGGCCCTCCCAGTTTGTCCCAGTTTGTCACTCACCGTACTGGAATGAACTGGAGGCACCTGGGGGGGAGGGGAGGGGTCAGAAACCAGTACGGACCAGTATGGACCAGTATGGACCAGTATAAACCAGTATGGACCAGTAAAAACCAGTATGGACCGGTATAAACCAGTATAAACCAGTATGGACCAGTATAAACCATAATGGACCAGTATAAACCAGTATGGACCGGTATGGACCAGTACGGACCCTCCCTCCCAGTATAAACCAGTATCCCCAGTTTGTCCCAGTCCCTCCCAGTATGACCCAGTTCCCCCCAGTTCCCTCCCAGTATAACCCAAATCCCTCCCAGTTTGTCCCAGTTCCCTCCCAGTATAAACCAGTCCATCCCAATTCCCTCCCAATTCCCTCCCAGTATCTCCCAGTTCCTTCCCAGTATAACCCAGTCCCTCCCAGTTAATCCCAGTTTATCCCAGTAACCCCAAAACCATCCCAGTTCAGACCAGTTTGTCCCAGTTCCTCCCAGTAACCCCCAAATTCCCTCCCAGTGCCCTCCCAGTATAAATCAGTACCTCCCAGTCCCTTCCAGTCCATCCCAGTTCCTCCCGGTTTGTCCCAGTTCCCTCCCAGTATAACCCAGTTCAATCCCAGTTCAATCCCAGTCCCTTCCCAGTTCCCCCGTCTCCCCCAGTCCCTCCCAGTTCCCTCCCAGTATAAACCAGTATCTCCCAGTCCCTCCCAATCCTCCCTCAGTTCCCTCTCAGTCCATCCCAATTCCCTCCCAGTTCCCTCCCAGTTTGTCCCAGTAACCCCCAAACCATCCCAGTTCCCTCCCAGTATGACCCAGTCCCTCCCAGTGCCCTCCCAGTATAAACCAGTCCCCTCCCAGTTTGTCCCAATACCCTCCCAGTTCCCTCCCAGTATAAACCAGTCCCTCCCAGTCCATCCCAGTCCCTCCCGGTTCCTCCCAGTTCCCTCCCAGTTTGTCTCTGTCCCCTCCCAGTCCCTCCCAGTATAAACCAGTCCATCCCAGTCCATCCCAATTCCCTCCCAATCCCCTCCCAGTTTGTCCTACCTCCCTCCCAGTATAAACCAGTATCTCCCAGTCCCTCCCAATCCTCCCTCAGTTCCCTCCCAGCTCATCCCAGTTCATCCCAGTTCCCTCCCAGTCTGTCCCAGTCTGTCCCAGTCCCTCCCAGTTTGTCCCAGTACCTCCCAGTATCACCAGTGCCCGCAGCCGCTCTCGCTCCATTCCGTGACCTTTGAGGGAACTGGGACAGACTGGGATGGACTGGGATGGACTGGGATGGAACTGGGATAAACTTGAAGGGAACTGGGAGATACTGGGAGGGACTGGGAGGGACTGGGATGGACTGGGATGGACTGGGAGGGAACTGGGACAGACTGGCGGATACTGGTTTATACTGGGAGGGACTGGGAGGGGATTGAGGGATACTGGGAGGAGGGAATGGGACAGACTGGGACAAACTGGGGGATACTGGGAGGGAACTGGGACAAACTGGGAGGGACTGGGAGGGAATTGAGGGATACTGGGAGGAGGGAATGGGACAGACTGGGACAAACTGGGGGATACTGGGAGGGAACTGGGAAGGGATTGGGACAAACTGGGGGGGGACAGGAGGGGAACTGGGATGAACTGGGGGGGACTGGGAGGGACTGGGAATTACTGGGATGAACTGGGGAGTTACTGGGATGGACTGGGGAGCACTGGGGGGGTTACTGGGAGCTACTGGGATGAACTGGGAAGTTACTGGGGGGTTACTGGGAGTTACTGGGGGGTTACTGGGAGTTACTGGGGGGGGTAACTGGGGGTTACTGGGATGAACTGGGATGAACTGGGGCCCCACTCACCTTCCCAGAGCAGCCGCTGGAACTGGAAATGGGGGGGGGGGAGGGGGAACTGGGAGGGGGCGGTGCCAATGAAAGAAGGGGCGGGGCCAAGCAAAGAAGGCGTGTGGTCATAGAAGGGGCGTGGTCATAGAAGGGGCGGGGGCAGAGCTGAGGAGGGGCCGGGGAGGGACTGGGACAAACTGGGGCATACTGGGATGGTCTGGGAGGGACTGGGACATGCTGGGAGGGGACTGGGGCAAACTCGGACATACTGGAAGTGATACTGGGATGGACTGGGAGGGACTGGGAGCGACTGGGAGTGATACTGGGATGGACTGGTCTGTACTGGGATGGACTGGGAGATACTGGGAGGCACTGGGGCAAACTGGGATGTACTAGGAGCGATATTGTGATGAACTGGAATGTACTGGAGGGTTAAATGGGGCTGTTCCCGCCTCCACCGCCTGCCATTGGCTGACGCTCCCGCCCGTCACTTGCTGAGACCAATCAGCGCCCAGGAACACGACCCTGGGGCGGGGCCTGGAGGCGGTGCCATTTTAGAAACTTTTAGCCTTCAACTCCCGTCATGCACCGCGGCCCCATGGACGCCTAATGGAGCCGGGCCTACAGCTCCCGTCATGCCCCGCGCTCCCCACAGCGCCGGTTATCGCCTTCCCGTGCCCCATTGTCACCCCCAGACGCTGCGGGACCCCCGGCTGCCCCCCAGAGCTCACCCGGGACCCCCAAACGCCTCCTGGGACCCCCAAACGCCCCAGGGCACACAGAGGCCTCCGAGCGCCGCTTTCGGGCTTACATCTCTCGTCATCCCCTGTGGCCATAGAGCCCCCTCATGGCCGAGTTCCGGTCCTGCCACTCCCGTTCACGTCCCGCGCCCCAAGGAGATGCCTCAGAGCCCTCCAGGTGCCCCCCAAGGGCGCCCCGAGGCCACAGGGTCCCCCCAGTTGCCCTCCCGGACCCCCAAACGCTCTGTCACTGCCACTTCCGGGACTACAGCTCCCATCGTACCCTGCGGCTCCATTAAGCGCCATTAAAGCAGCGCCTCTATCCCCCATGATGCCCCGCGGCCTGATTAAAACAAAGCCTTCATCCCCTGTGATGCACCGCGGCTCTAATAAAGCAGCGCCTACAACTCCCATCATCCTCCGCGCCCCATAGATCCCTATTATATCCGTGCATACAACTCCCATTATACACAAGCCTCCATAGAGCTCTATTATACCCGCGCCTACATCTCCCATCATCTCCCGCGCTCCATAGAGCCCCCTTATACACAGGCCTCCAACTCCCATCATGCCCCGTGCTCCATAGAGCTCATTATACCCGCGCCTCCAACTCCCATCATCCCCTGCGCCCCATAGATCCCTATTATATCCGTGCATACAACTCCCATCATCCCCTGAGCCCTCTAGAGCTCTATTATATCCGTGCATACAACTCCCATCATCCCCTGAGCCCTATAGAGCTCTATTATATCCGTGCATACAACTCCCATCCTCCCCCGCGCCTCATATATCCCTATTATATCCGCGCATACAACTCCCATCCTCGCCCGCGCCCCATAGAAACCCGTTATAGCCGCGCCTCCAACTCCCATCATGCCCCGCGCCCCATAGATCCCCATTATACCCGCGCCTCTAACTCCCATCAGCCCCCGCGCCCCACAGATCGCCATTAATTCCCTCCCACACCCCAAAACCCCCCCCAAACCAGGAAAAACCCCCAAATTTCTTTGACCACCAACACTCAGACACCTCCGAGCTCCCAAATCCTTTAATATTCGCAATTTCCCCCTGTTTAACCCCTCCCTTCCATCGAGTTCAGCTCAGCGGGTTTGACTGAGCTCCATCTCCTCCACCGGGGGTTTTTGGGGAGATTTGGGGTTTTTTGGGGGGTTTTTGGGGTCCCTCAGAGCACGGCCCGGCCCCGCTGGATGGGCAGGACCCCGAATCTCCGTTTCAGGGCCAGGCGGTGCCGCGAGAATTTGTCATCGGGGGAGAAGCGGGCGGGGTGGGCCGAGCGTGTGGGGAGCCCGGCCGGGGACACTTTCTGAGGGGAAAATTACACAGAATCCTATAAAATCCCACAAAATCCCACAAATTATCCCAAATCCCCCCTCAGGGCAAGCAAACTTACCCCAAATCTCCCCAAAATCCTTAAAATTCCCCCCCCCCCCAAATTCCTCTCCTCAGGACACCCGAAATTTCCCGCCAAATTCCCCCCCACAGGACACCCCAAAATTCCTCCAAAATCCCAAAACTGCCACCTCAGGACAGTCAAAATCCCACAAATTCCCCCCAAAATGCCCCAAATTCCCCCCAAATGCCCCAAATTCCCCCTAAAAATCCTCAAATTCGCCCAAAATCGTCCAGATTCCCCCCTCAGAGTCCCCCCAAATCCCCCTAATTCCCCCCTCAAATTCCCCCCAAAATCTCTCAAACTGCCCCTCAGGACACCCAAAATTCCCAGATTCCCCCAAAATCCCCAAATTTCCCCTCAGGACACCCAAAATCTCCCAAAATGCCCCATATTCCCCCAAATTCCCCAATTTCCCCAAATTCTCCCAAATTTTCCCCTCAGGATCCCCCAAATTGCCCCAAAATCCACAAACTGCCCCTCAGGACACCCCAAAATTCCTCCAAAATCCCAAAACTGCCACCTCAGGACACTCAAAATCCCACAAATTCCCCCCAAAATGCCCCAGATTCCCCTCAAAATCCCCAAATTTCCCCTCAGGACACCCAAAATCTCCCAAAATGCCCCAAATTCCCCCCTCAGGACATCTAAAATCCCTCAAGTTCCCCCAAAATCTCCAAATTCCCCCAAATTCACCCTAAATTTCCCCCCTCAGGACACCCAAAATCTCCCAAAATGCCCCAATTTCCCCCAAATGCCCCAATTTCCCCAAAATCTCCCAAATCTTCCCCTCCGGATCCCCCAAAATTCCCCAAAATCCACAATTTCCCCCACAGGACACCCAAAATGCCACAAATTCCCCCAAAATCCACCAAATTCCCCCAAAATTTACCAAATTTCTCCAATTATCCCCTGAGGACTCCCAAATTCCCCCCAAATTCTCCAAAATAACCCAAATTTCCCCTCAGGACAACAAAAATCTCCCAAATTCCTCTCAAATCCCCCAAATTTCCCCAAAATCCCTCAAATTCCCCTCTCAGGACACCCAAAATGCCCCAAATTCTCCAAATTGCCCCAAATTCCTCCCTCAGGAAACCAAAAATCCCCCAAAATGCCCCAAATTCCCCCTCAGGATGCCCCAAATTTTACAAATTGCCCCAAATCCTTCAAAATCTCCCAAATCCTCTAATTTCCCTCAAATTCCCCCTCAGGACATCAAAAATCCTCCAAAATTCCCCAGATTCTCCCCCAAATTCCTCCAAAAATCCCCCAAATTCCCCCTCAGGACACCCCAAAATCCACAAATCTCCCCAAAATTCCCCTCTAAGGACACCTAAAATCCCTGATATTCCCCCAAAATCTCCCAAATTCCCCCCTCAGGATCCCCGAAAATGCCCCAAAATCCACAAACTGTCCCCTCTGGACACCCAAAATGCCCCAAAATTCCCACTCAGAATGCCCAAAATCCTCCAAATTCCCCCCAAATCCCTTAAAATGCCCCAAATTCCTCCCAAAATTCTCTAAATTCCCTCAAATTCCCCCTCAGAACAACAAAAATCCTCCAAAATTCCCCCAAATTCCTCCAAAAATCCCCAAATTTCCCCTCAGGACACCCAAAATCCACAAAAATCCCCCAAAAATCCCCAAATTTCCCCTCAGGACACCCAAAATCCACAAAAATCCCCCCAAAATCCCCAAATTTCCCCTCAGGACGCCCAAAATCCACAAAAATCTCCCTAAATTCCCCCAAATTCCCCTCTAAGGACACCTAAAATCCCTCAAATTCCCCCAAAATCTCCCAAATTTCCCCTCAGGAAACCCCAAATTCTCCCAAATCCCCTCAAATTCCCCCCTCAGGACACCTAAAATCCCCCCAAATGCCCCAAATCCCCAAATTTCCCCAAAATCTCCCAAATTCCCCCCTCAGGACACCCAAATTCCCCAAAAATGCCCCCAATTCCCCCTCCGGACACCTAAAATCCCCCAAATTCCACCCAAAATCTCCAAATTTTCCCAAATTCCCTCTCAGGAGAACAAAAATCCCCCAAATTCCTCTCAAATTCCCCCTCAGGACACCCAAATTCCACCCAAATCCTCCAAAATGCCCCAAATTTCCCCAAAATTCCCTCTCAGAATACTCAAATTCTTCCAAATCCCCTCAAATTCGCCTCTCAGGACACCCCAAATCCAAAAAAAATCTCCACAAGATTCCCCAAATTCCCCCAAATTTTCTCAAAATCCCCCAAATTCCCCCCAAACTCCCTCAAAATTCTCTAAATATCCTCAATTTCCCCCTCAGGACATCAAAAACCCTCCAAAATTCCCCAGATTCTCCCTCAAATTCCTCCAAAAATCCCCCAAATTCCCCCTCAGGACACCCAAAATCCACAAATCTCCCAAAATTCCTCAAATTCCCCCTCAGGACACCCCAAAATCCACAAAAATCTCCCCAAAATTCCCCTCTAAGGGCACCTAAAATCCCTCAAATTCCCCCAAAATCTCCCAAATTTCCCCCTTAGGACACCCAAAATCTCCCAAAATTCCCCAAATCCCCCAATTTCCCCAAAATCTCCCAAATTCCCCCCTCAGGATCCCCCAAATTGCCCCAAAATCTATAAATTGCCCCTCAGGACACCCAAAATCGCACAAATTCCCCCCAAAATCCCCAAATTCCCCCTTAAGACACCCAAATTCCCATAAATTCCCCCAAAATCCCTCAAATTCCCCCTCAGGAAACCAAAAATTCCCCAGATTTCCCCCAAATTCTCTCAAAAATCCATGCTCAGGACACCCAGAATGTCTCAATTTCCCCCAAAATCCCCAAATTCCCCCCTCAGGACACCCAAATACTCCAAGATCCCCCAAAATTCCCTCTCAGAACACCCCAATTCTCCCAAATTCCTCAAATTCCCCCTCAGAACACCCAAAATCCCCCAAATTCCTCCCAAACTTCCACAAATTCCCTCAAAATCCTCGAAATTTCTCCCCAGATCCCCCAAATCCCTCAAAATTCCCCCAAATTCCCCCCTTGGGACACCCAAATTCCCCCAAAATTCCCCCTCAGGAAATCCAAAATCCCCAAAATTCCCCAAAATAACCCAAATTCCCCCATCAGGACGACAAAAATCCCCCAAATTCCTCTCAAATCCCCCAAAATTCCCTCTCAGAACCCCCAAATTCTCCCAAATCCCCCCCTCAGGACACCTAAAATCCCTCAAAATGCCCAAAGTCCCCAAATTCACCCCAAACTCCCCCTCAGAACATCCAAAATTGCCCAAATTCTCCCTCAGAACACCCAAACTCCCCAAAAATGCCCCAAATTTCCCCCTCAGGATGCCCAAGTTCCCCCCAAAATCCTCCAGATTCCCATAAACTCCACCAAATTTCCCTAAAATTCCCCTAATTTCCCCAAAATTTCCCAAATTCCCTCCTCAGGACAACCTAAATCCCACTAAAAAACCCCTTAGGACACCCAAATTCCCTCAAATTCCCCCCAAAATTCCCCCTCAGGATGCCCCAAATCCCCCAAATTCTCCCCAAATGCCCCAAATTCTTCCCCAAATTCCCCCCTCAAGACATCCAAACTCCCCCAAAATCCCCCTCAGGACACCCAAAGTCCCTCAAATTCCCCCAAAATCCCCTCAAATTCCCCCTCAGGACACCCCAAAACCCCTCAAAATCCTCCAAAACCCTCCCACATTCCCTCAAATTCCCCAAAATCCCCCGAATTATCCCTCAGGACACCCCAAATCCCCCCCAAAATCCTCCAAATTTCCTCCTCAGGACACCCAAATTCCCATGAATTCCCCCCGAATTCCCCCAAAATTCCCCTCTCAGGAAACCCAAACTTCCCCAAAATGCCTCAAACTCCCCCAAATTCCCCCTCAGGACACCCCAAATCCCCCAAATTCTCCGAAATCCCCCAAATTCCCCCCTTGGGACACCAAAATCCCCCACATTCCCATTTTTGACCCCAAACTTCCCACCTGAGTACCCAAACTCCCGTTTTTAGTCCCAAACTTTCCCTTCCTTGACACAAATTCTCCTTTTTCAGTCCCCAGTTTCCGTTTTTGGCCCCAAATTCCCCTTCTTTGGTCCAATTTTTCCCGTTTGTAGACTAAAATTCCCCTTTTTTAGATCCAGACTTCTCACCTGAGCCCCCAAATTCCCCTTTTAGACCAAAATTCTCCTCTTTTGGTACAAATTCACATTTTTTGGACCCAAATCCTCCAATTTTCAGCCCAAATTCTCCATTCATGGCACCAAATCCTCCATTTTTAAACCCAAATTTCCCTTTTTAGAACCAAATTTCCCTTTTTTGGACCCAAATTCCCTCCCCCCCCCTTTTTTTTTTGTTACAAATTTCTCATTTTGTGCACGGTGGACTCGATCCCAATCTGGACCCAAATCTTCCCTTTACTCAACCCAAGCTCTCCATTTTTGAACCAAATTTTCCCCTTTTTAGCCCCAAATTCTCCCTTTCTAGTCCCCATTTCCCCATTTTCAGTCCCGAATTCCCATTATTCATTCCCAAATTCCCCCTTTTTTCTAACAAATTTCCCCTTTTCGCCTCAAAACTCCCATCCCTATTGTTATGAACAAAAATTAAGTTGATTTTTTCTGTGAGAAAAAGGTTACCACTGTTGCTGCTGGGGTTCTGCTTGTGTTATGGTAATTACGGGTCGTTGTTGTTAATGGTTGTTTATGTATCAGTAAAAGCCCTGGCTGGGGCGAGTTAATGGCCCTGCTCTGAGACAGTGAAGGGTGGGGACCTCCCGAACAGCGAACAGCGAGGAGAAGAGACTTTGCAGGGGAGGGATGTGCAAATAACTCCAAGGACCAGCATGCTGTGTGGGACCCCCTGCTCCGAATGCACTGAGAAAACCCCAGAAACAACGAGCCACCTAAGAGTT